AGAGAGAGAGAGAGAGAGAGAGAGAGAGAGAAAGAGAGAGAGAGAGAGAGAGAGAGAGAGAGAGAGAGAGAGAGAGACCTTTATTATGTATTCCAGCTCAAAAACAAAATTTCACAGTTCGCTAAATGTTTTTAATGGAGAAAAAAAATAATCTTTTCACATAAGCCAAAAGCAACCACAAAGCAGGAAGTTGAGAAGTGTCAGAAGGGGAAAAAAAAAGCTCAGTGGCCTCCATCCCCAAATCCCTGACCAGCGGAGGGCTGCAGGCAAATGTGCACTGTGTAGGCATTATCTCCACTCCTACCACTGAAGTTCTGCCGCCTGCTGGCATGTGTCCGATGGGGCTGTTTTTACAGGAATCTATGTGTTCCCGTCTGGGTTCTGACATTTACTTATAGTTTCTCTTTCCACCTTAGAATCCTGGTGAGCCGGAGCTAGATATCGTAGTTCACTCATAATCAGCCCTAGGGCAGGAAGTAAGCTAGTCCGCAAACAAATCCACAGTCATCCCCGACACCAACGGTGGGAAATGGAACGCCAAGAAGTGGGTTGTGTTAGCCCGTCAACAATTATACTCAAGTGTCTCGGATCCTATGCAATATTTTGGGGTAGGGAGATCTCGCTACGTAGCCTAGTTTGTTCTCTCCAAAACTTCTGAGCTCACGATCTTTCCTCTAAGCTCAGCCTCGGGAGCACTAGACACAACAGACTCTCGCCACCCCGCCCACTTCACCGTCGAGTTCTAAGTCTTCCCCAATTATAGGATGACTAGAGCAATCCCCTTTACTATCCTTAAACCCTCACCCAGCAGCCCCAGTTTTGGACCTCTTGCTTTCTTTTGAGAAAGTCCCCGATCTGTTAGAACACCTTAGAGCTTCGCCCTGCCAACAGAGGTTGTTGCCTAGCAACAGCACCACTAGCCTGTCCACGTGACCAGCCCGAAAGCCCTCCCTTCAGGCTGTCCCAAGGCGCCTGATCAGACCCGTGAATCCTTCGGCCTCTCTTTTCTCTGGAACAGTTTACGCTTCGTTTTGAGAACCAACAAGTTGGCCTTTCCCGTTTCTGTCTCCGAGGCCAGCATTCTTCGAAGCTGTTCCTCAGGCAGAAGGCTGTCCTCTGAGGCCAGGCGGTCCGGCGACGCGCTCGGGGTCCTTCCTGGCGACGGGCGCCGGCGTTGTCGCGGCGTGCGGCGGAAGCGCGGGCTCAGGCGGCGGACTAGGGGCGCTCGGCTGAGCAGTCTGCGGGTGAGCTGGACGGGAAGGGTACTCTAGGGGGTTGAGGAACGAGAGAAATTAGCTTGGGAAGAGGCGATTTATATAGAATTTATCCCTTTCGCTTAACTAACGTACAAATTGAATTCTGGCGTGGGAAAGGGAATGAAAGACACCAACCCCCAACACATGCACACACCGTCGATTCCGGGGTTTCCACGGTCCCCGGCGTGGTTAAGATCCCGTCCCTTAATAGAGGTAGCGCTGTAAAGACCCAGACCCCTGCCACTCCCCCTTCCATCGGTGCCTGCTTCACCACCAAACTGTCTCCATCCGAGCTATCTGTGATGGCTAGTGCCAAATTCTTCCGCTCTGTAGGCAGGAATATTGGTCCAGGTTCAAGGCTAAGCCGTGGTTCTGGTTCAAAAAGCCAAAACAGAAAAGATTACAGCATTCCTTTGAGAATCTGCGTTGTAGTGGGAAGATGCAGATTTGGCTATTTTGAGACTAGCTTTACGTAACTAAGCATGTCATTAATTCACCCTCCTACCCCAGTCCACTAAGCATGTCATTAATTCACCCTCCTACCCCAGTCCACCTCCAAAAAAACAAAACTAGCAAAACGTATTGAGGGCCTATTTTGTCCCAGGCACTGTTGTCGTTTTGCTCCGATTTTCTTATTAATGTTTTATCAGTACCAGGTATACACACGTTCCCTAAGTACTACTCAGGCATAACCTTGATTTACTTAGGCTGCGAGTGTAACTTGGTGGAGAAGTGTTTCGTAGAGTGTGAGGCCTAGGATTTGATCTTAAGCACCCAACCACACACTAAGAAATTGGTGTAAGGGTGGCTTGGCAAGTGTATAGAGAGAGATTTTTAGAGTGACAAACAGGTGACATTAAAGGAGAGGGGTGAGTTAAATGAATTAAGAAGGTATAACTAGCCAGAGGACAATAGGAATGACAGTCTTGAGGCAGAGAATAGCTTGGCTTGTTCAGTAAAGACCTCTCTTTAAAAGTTTGTGCCATCACCTGATGAGAGTCTTGGGAGATATATACAATGGATGTAATTGTTGTAACCTCTTAGAAATAAAAACAGTAGGTATATCGATCTCTGTAATGAGTTACATTTAATTACCAGTGACTAGCACTCTAATTCTATGATTTACTTACAGTCAGTTCTCAGCAGATTTCACGGAGGTATTCAGTCTACTGCAAGAAATACCAGAATTTCAAAACTAAACATTCCACTCAGTTAACGTTACTTAGTGTCTATTTGTGCTAGGCACTGTCTTGGGTATTGGCATGTGAACACAAAGGACACGGGGTTCTCATGCTCAAAAAGGTCATGTTTTCCGTTAACCCACATTTGTTATTTGTTGTTTTTTGAGACAGGATCTCTCATATCTCAGGATATATGTAGGATCACAGGTATAAGATCCCATGCCTGGCTAATCATACTTTGTGAGTTTCTCTTTGTATATGTTTGCATGTTTTTGTGTAGTGAGTGAGGGTTGTGTGTGCTGTGGTTTGCAGGTGGAGGTCAGAGGTCAGAGGACAACCTTCAAGGTTTGGTCCTCATCTCTTGATCTGTTTTGAGACAGGGTCTCCTCCTCACTGCCAGTCCCGGGCTAGCTGGCTCCTCACTGCCAGTACCGGGCTAGCTGGCTCTGAGCTTCAGAGTCTCTGTCTCCCGTTCCCTGCAGGCCATCTAGGACCGCAGATACTCACACTGCCATACGTGGCTCTTCTGTGGGTTTCTGGGATTGAACTCAGGTCATCCGGCTGCTGTACAATTAGGTACTTATTCGTTGCCTTTATAAGGTTTTAGGCCTTGATAATTCACTCTAGGGAGGCAAACTAACTTCTGTGAGTTACGTCATCGTTGGAGATAGGTGAAGATATGATGGGTCAAGGTCGTAAACCCCAGGGCCTGATGCTTTTCCCCTGCTCTAGGTTTTTTTGGTTTTTGTTTTTGTTTTTTAGGTTTTTCGAGACAGGGTTTCTCTGTGTAGCCCGGGCTGTCCTGGAACTCACTCTGTAGACCAGGTTGGCCTCGAACTCAGAAATCCACCTGCCTCTGCCTCCCAAGTGCTGGGATTAAAGGCGTGCGCCACCACTGCCCGGCCCTGCTCTAATAAAAATTGTTACCCAGCATTTGGGACAGGAGGTCCTGAGAAGAGTGAGAAGTGAGAGGTTGGGGGCTAGGAAAGCTTGAAGGGTGGGATCTAAACTGTTCCTTTGAACAGAATTTCAGTCATCGAAATGGGGAAAATCCACTGGAGTTGCAGACTACAAATTGTAAGCTGGATGTGGATGAGATTCGAACCTGAGTCCTTTGAAAGAGCAGTAAGAACAGTGAGTCCTCACTCATCACTAAGGGGCAATGAGTAATTTTGCAATGACAAGCATGTCTGCTGTCACCATAATTGAGGATCACAGTTAGAATCATCAGTGAGCACACGTTGGAATTGTTTACCGCTCAGAGCGGAGGCAAGTCTACAGGAAGGGATAGTCTTCAAAAGCACTGGATTGTAATCTGAACAAGTTGTCAAGTCCTGAAAGTCAAGACTAGAAAACCATTCTAGATTAAAAGAACAAAGACCCCTCAGGGCAAGTGTACAGTCCTGGTTTGTGTCCTTGGCTGTGTATTTTATGACTGGAACAGTTTTTCGAACTTGGTGGAGCCTGTGTATTAGGTAGAATAACCTGCTGATATTCATTTTTTATTTTGATGGCTGTGTTGTGATATTTTGAGAATGTTAATTTTTTTTTAAAAAGTGAGATGCTGGAAAGATGGTTTAGCATTTAAGAGAATCTGCTAGGCAGCCATGAAGACTTGGAGTCAGTCAGATCCTAGCACTCATGTGACAATCCTCATGTTCCCAAAGGATCCAATGCTGTCTTCTGATACATGTGCATAAAATTACACACAGATATACAGACACACACAGACACACACACAAACACACACACACGTTTAATTGATTAAATAAATGCAGAAAGGGGAGGTGGACTAGGTATTAGTTGTACGACTGTTATGTCAGCATGGGGCAGGGGGTGGGGGTGGGGTAAGGAAGAGGCAGAGGAGCCAGAGTTCAAGGCCTGCTTGGGGAGCAGTGAGAACCTATTTTTAAAAGTAAAAATAGCCACGCAGTGGTGGCGCACGTCTTTAATCCCAGCCCTTGGGAGGCAGAGGCAGGCGGATTTCTGAGTTTGAGGCTGGCCTGGTCTACAGAGTGAGTTCCAGGACAGCCAGGACTACACAGAGAAACCCTGTCTCGAAAAAACAAA